AATGACCTGAAAACTCACCCCTTGGTGGTGCTGGTCTCTGATAATGGAGAACCCTCCCTGTCAGCTACTGTGTCTATTGATGTGGTGGTGGTTGAAAGCAATGCTGACATCCACACTCAGTTCAGACATGTGACCATAAAGGAGGAGAGCTTCTCTGATTTAAACCTGTATCTGCTCATCGCCATAGTGTCGGTGTCAGCCATCTTCCTGCTCAGCCTCATCACTTTAATAGCTGTCAAATGTCACAGGACAGACGGCAGTTTCAGCAGGTACGGAGCCCCAATGATCACCACCCACCCTGACGGGAGCTGGTCTTACTCCAAAGCTACTCAGCAGTATGACGTGTGTTTCAGCTCAGACACACTCAAGAGTGACGTAGTGGTTTTCCCCGCACCGTTTCCACCTGCAGATGCTGAACTCATCAGTATAAATGGAGGAGACACTTTTACCAGAACTCAGACTTTGCCTAATAAGGAAAAGGTACGTGCTGATATATCAATTCATGGCTTTTAGTTCACAATGACCATTATTTACAATTATTGATATAAGACATTTTGGGCTATACTCGAGTACAAAGAGTGTGAAAACAATGAAAGATTTTAGGAAAAGCTTATTTGTTGTATTATGGCAACAATGCTAACCTTGTTCATGTGAGCACATTTTCTAGCCCATAAACATTACAATCGGTGATGGAAGTTCGCAACAACCTTTATAACAACTTGAACACAGAGTACCATCCCCACATCTTGTGTATTATATGCTGGATAACTTCATAGAGTCAGCCCTTGGCATCATATCCGTACGTTGTCTCTTTGAGGGTTTCTTGCAGCGCTCTCCTTGGTGCTGAAATTAGTCTACAAAGCCTTTGGATTCTATGAGCTCTCTGTAACGTTATGTTGTCAACCATTTCACTTTTGGTATAAAGTGGTCAAGATAGGAATAATCGGCTTGGCAAATTAACTATTAGACATTGATAAATACTTAATAGAGTTTTTATTTTGCGTCACATTAGCTAAAATGTTGTTTCTGCATACACTGCAATGGGTTTTGAAAAGCCTTGAATGGGTACATATACATTTTTAGATTTGCATTTAAAAATGAACTGATTTGACATGTAAAGAATTATGTGATATCATAATATCAAATAGCGTTTTCTACATAAAGCAAAAATATAACAACTATCATGGTAATTATATATACAAAACGATTGAATTTACTACAAGTTTCTGGCAGTAACTGTTAAACATTTATAATGAGTTGACTGAAACCCACCACACGATGTCGCTGGAGACCACAGCTATGTTTATAACATTTTGTGTAAAACTCCTCCCTGCACGGATAACGTAAAGTCGATATCGGCCCTCCCTGTATTCAGACTCTCGGCTTGTGGGGAGAACGGTTGCTGTTGCCGACGCTGGGAAATCCTGTTTATGTCGGATCTATACATTGACTGGAAGTACATGTCGAGCGGGATACAGTGTCTTTGATACAAAGATGGGAAATGAGGAATATGCTTGGATTCACATCGTTGCGCTGCTTTGTCTTTGTGACTGCTCTGCTTCGCAATTATCTTACTCCATATCTGAGGAGGTGAACAAAGGCACCGTGGTGGGGAATATTGCAAAGGATCTTAACCTGAATTTACAAGATACAGAGACGAGGGATCTACGTATTGTTTCGAGTTACAGTAAGAAATATGTTGATGTGAATTTACGAACCGGGAACCTCTTTGTTGACGACAGAATAGACAGAGAAGAGCTTTGTCCGAACACGGCTCAATGCTCGCTAAGAATACAGGCTGTTTTGAGCAATCCTATGAGTGTACACCGCATTGAGATAACAGTTTTGGACACCAATGATAACGCACCAGACTTTATTGAACAGTCGTATTCCTTAAATATCTCTGAATCAATGTCACCGGGGAGAACGGTATCTTCTCCCAGTAGCGGAAGATGCAGACATAGGCAGCAACTCAGTGAAGAGCTACAAGCTGAGCCAAAATGAATATTTCTCACTTGATGTGCAGAGCGGAGGAGAACACGGAGTGTCTGCTGAGTTAGTGCTGCAGAAAGCTTTAGATCGAGAGAAACAGGCTGTTATCAAACTCATTCTAACTGCTGTAGATGGAGGGAAACCTGCTAGATCGGGTACATTGCAGATACATGTAAACGTATTGGATGTCAATGATAACACACCGATTTTCAACAAGTCGCTGTATAAAGTCCGTGTGCGTGAAAATGCTGCGTACAGAACAGAGGTTATTAAATTAAATGCCACGGATTTGGACGATGGAATGAACAGTAAGATACTGTATTCATTGGTCAAAAGAGGAAATATTGATCCCGCGGACATGTTTTATCTTAATTCAGAAACAGGAGAAATAACTGTGAAGGGAACATTAGATTATGAAGAAACACCTGCTTATGAGGTTAGAGTTCAAGCGAAGGATCAAGGAACATTTCCTCGCAGTGCACATGCTAAACTGCTGATAGAAATAATTGATGTTAATGACAATGCTCCTGAAATATCTGTGACGTCACTCATGACACCAGTAAAAGAAGACGCAGAGTTAGGGACCATCGTTGCTTTGGTTACAGTGAGTGATAAAGATGGAGGAAACAATGGTGTGACTAACTGTAAGGTGGTGGGCTCTGTTCCCTTCAAACTCAAGTCCAACTACAAAAAACGACTATTCATTAGTAGTAGATGGACCCCTAGACAGAGAAAACACCTCTCTTTACAATGTCACCATTACAGCCACAGATGAAGGCAGTCCTCCTCTATCCAGTGTCAGTGTTATTAGTGTTCAAGTTTCTGATGTTAATGATAATGCTCCTCGTTTCATGGAGCCTTCAGTTAATATTTATATGGCAGAAAACAGTCCTACTGGCTCTGTTATTTATACCATAAGTGCTTTTGATCCTGATTTGGACAATAATGCAAAACTGACTTATAAATTGTTGGATGTTATCCAAGCTCTATTCCAACTCATCTTTTGTAAACATCAACTCAGAGACTGGAGATATAGTCAGTCTGCAGTCATTTAACTATGAGAGTTAAAACGTTTCAGTTTAAAGTTCAGGCCACAGACTCTGGTGTTCCTCCGCTCAGCAGCAACGTGACTGTGAACGTTTTGATCCTGGATGAAAATGACAATAATCCAACTATTCTCGCGCCCTATTCTGAGCACGGCTCCGTCAACAGTGAGAGCATCCCCTATTCTGCTGAAGCGGGATACTTTGTGGCAAAGATCAGGGCTGTAGACGCAGACTCTGGATACAACGCGCTGCTCTCTTATCACCTCTCTGAGCCCAAAGGAAACAATCTCTTCCGGATCGGAACCAGCACCGGAGAGATCAGGACTAAGAGGAGAATGAGTGACAATGACCTGAAAACTCACCCCTTGGTGGTGCTGGTCTCTGATAATGGAGAACCCTCCCTGTCAGCTACTGTGTCTATTGATGTGGTGGTGGTTGAAAGCAATGCTGACATCCACACTCAGTTCAGACATGTGACCATAAAGGAGGAGAGCTTCTCTGATTTAAACCTGTATCTGCTCATCGCCATAGTGTCGGTGTCAGCCATCTTCCTGCTCAGCCTCATCACTTTAATAGCTGTCAAATGTCACAGGACAGACGGCAGTTTCAGCAGGTACGGAGCCCAATGATCACCACCCACCCTGACGGGAGCTGGTCTTACTCCAAAGCTACTCAGCAGTATGACGTGTGTTTCAGCTCAGACACACTCAAGAGTGACGTAGTGGTTTTCCCCGCACCGTTTCCACCTGCAGATGCTGAACTCATCAGTATAAATGGAGGAGACACTTTTACCAGAACTCAGACTTTACCCAACACGGAAAAGGTAGGCTATTCTATGCAATCAATGCTTTATTTAAAGATTGAGGGAGAACTTTTGTTTTATATCAAGAAAAGGAACTGGTCGTATGTCTTCATTAACACTTGAAGTAAAAACAAACTCATACTCTATTCAGCTTGTGTTGCATTTTGCTGTTGATTAAAACAGCACAGACGAAAACTGTATACTGTTTTATGTAAAGTTTGAGCACCATAAATAATCAGCGAAGCTGTACTACAGTCTTAGAGAGCAATGTGGTGAAGTACAGAGAACACAAGTCACACACCTATTTTGAGTAGAACGGTTGACTTAGGGACCACATTGCCTGAATTCAAAAAGCAATGAACATGGTACTGAAAATGTTTTTAGCAGTAAGCTACTCAGACTCAATGTTACTATGCCGCCAAGCCAACACCCCGCTGTATGTCCACTGGAAAAATCTCATTCACATGACCTCAGCGTTCCTTAAATTGTATTGGAAAACAGCTCGCTGTGGTGATAAACTGAGGTCCATAGATCATTTACTATTCTGCTTTCATAGATCATTTACTATTCTGCTTTTTTTAACATTATAAAACAGCCGATACTTCAAATTGCATGCAATGGCGCTCTCCATGGTGCTGAGACAAGAGCACAAAAGAATCTACTTTGGATGTATATGTGATGATCATCTTTTAATGTATAACAGATATAATGAATGGCAAGGTTTAGGAAAAATACATAATTTTAGATTTTAATTACAGTTGTAATTTGATCTTTGTTTTTAGCTCGTTACAGTACCGTATTTTAACTATTATGGTCTTAATTGTCTTTGGAAGGTTAAGCCTGAGGATGGTTGATTCACTCTTTATATTTAGCATCAAGTTTAAATAAAGAGCTTTAGTATCAAAAGTCCATACATGGTGGAATTTTTGTATTTTCTCAGCTTATAAATGGATTTCCTGTTTGTGCATGACTCCATCGTGCATTTATATCAAATTATATGAGAAGGTAAAACTTGACTATACCAATCATTCTCCACTAGATGTCACTGGAGACCATCGATAGCAGTGCGTCTTTGTGTCCGAAACTCCTCCTCAATGGGTGGACACAAATAATTGTCACCGGCCATATTTCCTTCTACGCATTAGATGGTTGTGACGAGAGAGGCTTGAGCTCAGACATCGTTTTTTGCTTTAGAAGGAATAGCCTCTACAGGGATTTATGATTGACTCGGTTCAGGTCTTTCTTTGAACCAAGGATGCATGTGCGACGACAAAAGGAATATGTCTGGATTTTCATTGTTGCGTTGCTTTGTCTTTGTGGCAGCTCTGCCTCACAGATATCCTACTCCATATCTGAGGAGGTAAAGAAAGGCACTGTGATCGGGAATATCGCAAAGGATATAAACTTGAATGTTAAAGACCTAGAATCCCGGGATCTACGTATTGCTTCGAGTTACAGTAAGAACTATTTTAACGTCAATTTGCGGACCGGGGACCTCATCGTAGACGACAGAATAGACAGAGAGGAGCTATGTCCGAACACGGCACAGTGCACCCTAAGAGTACAGGCTGTTTTAAGCAATCCAATGGCTGCACATCGTATTGACGTCAACATTTTAGACTTAAATGACAACTCGCCAGAATTCTTTCAGCAGTCATTTTCACTGAACATCTCAGAATCAATGTCCCCGGGAGAACGCTATCTTCTATTGTTAGCAGAAGATGCAGACATGGGCAGCAATTCAGTGAAGAGCTACAAGCTGAGCCAAAATGAATATTTCTCACTCGATGTGCAGAGCGGAGGAGAACACGAAGTGTCTGCTGAGTTAGTGCTGCAGAAAGCTTTAGATCGAGAGAAACAGGCTGTTATTAAACTAACTCTGACTGCTGTAGATGGAGGAAACCTGCTAGATCGGGAACATTGCAGATAAATGTAAACGTATTGGATGTCAATGATAATACGCCAATGTTCAGTAAATCGCTGTATAAAGTCCGTGTGCGTGAAAATACCGAAAAAGGACAAGTGGTTATTAAATTAAATGCAACGGATATGGACGACGGAATAAACAGTAGGATCACGTATTCGTTGATAAAGCAACGCAATACAGATCCTTCTCAGACGTTTAATATTAATTCAGAAACAGGAGAAATAACTGTAAAAGGAACATTGGATTATGAAGAAACACCTGCTTATGAGGTTAGAGTTCAAGCGAAGGATCAAGGCACCACTCCCCGAAGTGCACATGCTAAACTGCTGATAGAAATAATTGATGTTAATGACAATGCTCCTGAAATATCTGTGACGTCACTCATGACACCAGTAAAAGAAGACGCAGAGTTAGGGACCATTGTTGCTTTGGTTACAGTGAGTGATAAAGATGGAGGAAACAATGGTGTGACTAACTGTAAGGTGGTGGGCTCTGTTCCCTTCAAACTCAAGTCCAACTACAAAAACGACTATTCATTAGTAGTAGATGGACCCCTAGACAGAGAAAACACCTCTCTTTACAATGTCACCATTACAGCCACAGATGAAGGCAGTCCTCCTCTGTCCAGTGTCAGGGTCATTACTGTTCAAGTTTCTGATGTTAATGATAATGCGCCTCGTTTCATGGAGCCTTCTGTTAATATTTATATGAAAGAAAACAGTCCTACTGGCTCAGTTATTTATACCATAAGTGCTTTTGATCCTGATTTAGAGAATAATGCAAAACTGACTTATAAATTGTTGGATAGTTATCAGAGATCTTTTCCTATAACCTCTGCTGTAAACATCAACTCAGAGACTGGAGATATAGTCAGTCTGCAGTCGTTTAACTATGAGGAGTTAAAAACGTTTCAGTTTAAAGTTCAGGCCACAGACTCTGGTGTTCCTCCGCTCAGCAGCAACGTGACTGTGAATGTTTTGATCCTGGATGAAAATGACAATAATCCAACTATTCTCGCGCCCTATTCTGAGCACGGCTCCGTCAACAGTGAGAGCATCCCCTATTCTGCTGAAGCGGGATACTTTGTGGCAAAGATCAGGGCTGTAGACGCAGACTCTGGATACAACGCGCTGCTCTCTTATCACCTCTCTGAGCCCAAAGGAAACAATCTCTTCCGGATCGGAACCAGCACCGGAGAGATCAGGACTAAGAGGAGAATGAGTGACAATGACCTGAAAACTCACCCCTTGGTGGTGCTGGTCTCTGATAATGGAGAACCCTCCCTGTCAGCTACTGTGTCTATTGATGTGGTGGTGGTTGAAAGCAATGCTGACATCCACACTCAGTTCAGACATGTGACCATAAAGGAGGAGAGCTTCTCTGATTTAAACCTGTATCTGCTCATCGCCATTGTGTCGGTGTCAGCCATCTTCCTGCTCAGCCTCATCACTTTAATAGCTGTCAAATGTCACAGGACAGACGGCAGTTTCAGCAGGTACGGAGCCCCAATGATCACCACCCACCCTGACGGGAGCTGGTCTTACTCCAAAGCTACTCAGCAGTATGACGTGTGTTTCAGCTCAGACACACTCAAGAGTGACGTAGTGGTTTTCCCCGCACCGTTTCCACCTGCAGATGCTGAACTCATCAGTATAAATGGAGGAGACACTTTTACCAGAACTCAGACTTTACCTAACAAAGAAAAGGTAGGCCACTTCAGATGAATTCTTGCAACTCCTTACTTTGCTATTGTCAAAACATATAACAAGTACCCTGACTTCAAGCATGACTCAAGATTTAAAATAATCAATATAAACACATGTACATATGTGGACCTGCAATCAAGCAATAAAATTAAGCAAACAAAACACTATCACTGGCTCAAAATGCATAACCCCTGTTGACACAGGAAGAGAATAACTTTAAAGAACAACCACAGAGTGGGATCATTTGAAGATGTGTTTTTACACAAACATTTTATCATACTTTTAGCCCTTTTTCAATTTGTACCGCTTTATTGTCTTCCTTAAGTGGTCTTCATCAAAAGACAAAAGGTTACTATGTTTTTGTTAATAGTTACATGGTGTTGTTGGCTATAGGACAAGTTTGAATGCAAGTATTTGGGAAGAGCTATCCATGGTGCTGAACTTTCTATTTGCGACACTTCCATGAAAAATCTACTGATTTTATGCATTTGGAAAGCATTTGTTGAAATGCTATACTTCGTTATGAACCTAAACTGAAACAATGGTCATGTTGGTGCTAAATGTAACACTTTGGCTATTTGAAGATGTTGTTTTGTTGCTGTGATCTTTCATTTGGCATGTGTTTCCGAAGTTGCCTGAAGTGAAAATGGCTGTCTGTGGTGTTTGACTAAGTGTTCAATTATGGGGTTTCTGAACAATTCTGTTACTCCTACTAGTTTCTCAACTAACAAAATATTTTTTACTAAAGGGCACTTGACAAAGAAAGTCAACATTATTTTATTTCTGGATATTTTACTTTACACATTAGCTCATGCAATGACTAAAATATTTAGAATTTCCTTTAATTGAGTCTTCATGCTCTACATATATACATGAATGACAAATGTGATCAATTTGATTGGTTGTTTCTAATTTTTACAACTTCTTTGACTGTGTGGGATGCTCAACTACATTTTCTTACCCACTATTCACCACATGATGTCGCAGGAGACCGTAGAAGTCGGGATGATAGTTCGTCCTTAACTCCACCTCCCTGTATGAGAAAAAATAAATCGTCATCGGCCTTTAGTACACTCGCGGAAGCCGCTGTAACGAGAAGGGCCGGAGCTTTCCCAGAATATTGTTCATTTGGACGGAAACATCTACACTAAGGATAAATGACCGTTTGTGATGATTTCTTTTGTGGCTTCAACAATGAATATTCGAGGACGATCGGAATACTTGTGGACTCGCATTGTTGTGCTGCTTTGTCTTTGTGACTGCTCTGCTTCGCAATTGTCTTACTCGATTTCCGAGGAGGTGAACAAAGGCACCGTGGTGGGGAATATTGCGAAGGATTTAAACCTCAATGTGCCGGAACTAGAGACCAGGGATCTACGTATTGTGTCAAGTTACAGTAAGAAATACTTTGACGTGAATTTGCGGACCGGGAACCTCTTTGTTGACGAAAGAATAGACAGAGAAGAGCTTTGTCCCAATGTGGTAAAATGCTCGTTAAAAATACAAGCCGTTTTAAACGATCCAATGACTGCACACCGCATAGAGATTAATGTTTTAGACATAAACGACAATTCACCTGCTTTTATTGAAAGCTCATATTCATTAAATATTTCCGAGTCATCGTTGACGGGAGAACGATATCTCCTCCCAATAGCAGACGATGCAGACATTGGCAGCAACTCAGTAAAGAGCTACAAGCTGAGCCAAAATGAATATTTCTCACTCGATGTGCAGAGCGGAGGAGAACACGAAGTGTCTGCTGAGTTAGTGCTGCAGAAAGCTTTAGATCGAGAGAAACAGGCGGTGCTCACACTCCTCTTGACCGCTGTAGATGGAGGGAATCCTCCTAGATCAGGGTCATTACAAATACATGTAAATATTTTGGATGTCAATGATAATATACCAACATTTAGCAAAACGCTTTATAAAGTGAGCGTCCAGGAAAACGCTGCACGTGGAACAGTGGTAATAATGTTAAATGCAACAGACTTAGATGAGGGAATGAATAGTAAACTGGTGTATTCCTTAATAAAACGAGGAAATACAGATCGATCAAGCACTTTTGATATAAATTCGGAAACAGGAGAAATAACTGTGAGGGGAACATTGGATTATGAAGAAACACCTGCTTATGAGGTTAGAGTTCAAGCGAAGGATCAAGGCACCTCTCCCCGAAGTGCACATGCTAAACTGCTGATAGAAATAATTGATGTTAATGACAATGCTCCTGAAATATCTGTGACGTCACTCATGACACCAGTAAAAGAAGACGCAGAGTTAGGGACCATCGTTGCTTTGGTTACAGTGAGTGATAAAGATGGAGGAAACAATGGTGTGACTAACTGTAAGGTGGTGGGCTCTGTTCCCTTCAAACTCAAGTCCAACTACAAAAACGACTATTCATTAGTAGTAGATGGACCCCTAGACAGAGAAAACACCTCTCTTTATAATGTCACCATTACAGCCACAGATGAAGGCAGTCCTCCTCTGTCCAGTGTCAGAGTCATTAGTGTTCAAGTTTCTGATGTTAATGATAATGCTCCTCGTTTCATGGAGCCTTCTGTTAATATTTATATGAAAGAAAACAGTCCTACTGGCTCAGTTATTTATACCATAAGTGCTTTTGATCCTGATTTAGAGAATAATGCAAAACTGACTTATAAATTGTTGGAAAGTTATCCAAGATCTATTCCTATAACCTCTGTTGTAAACATCAACTCAGAGACTGGAGATATAGTCAGTCTGCAGTCTTTTAACTATGAAGAGTTAAAAACGTTTCAGTTTAAAGTTCAGGCCACAGACTCTGGTGTTCCTCCGCTCAGCAGCAACGTGACTGTGAACGTTTTGATCCTGGATGAAAATGACAATAATCCAACTATTCTCGCGCCCTATTCTGAGCACGGCTCCGTCAACAGTGAGAGCATCCCCTATTCTGCTGAAGCGGGATACTTTGTGGCAAAGATCAGGGCTGTAGACGCAGACTCTGGATACAACGCGCTGCTCTCTTATCACCTCTCTGAGCCCAAAGGAAACAATCTCTTCCGGATCGGAACCAGCACCGGAGAGATCAGGACTAAGAGGAGAATGAGTGACAATGACCTGAAAACTCACCCCTTGGTGGTGCTGGTCTCTGATAATGGAGAACCCTCCCTGTCAGCTACTGTGTCTATTGATGTGGTGGTGGTTGAAAGCAATGCTGACATCCACACTCAGTTCAGACATGTGACCATAAAGGAGGAGAGCTTCTCTGATTTAAACCTGTATCTGCTCATCGCCATAGTGTCGGTGTCAGCCATCTTCCTGCTCAGCCTCATCACTTTAATAGCTGTCAAATGTCACAGGACAGACGGCAGTTTCAGCAGGTACGGAGCCCCAATGATCACCACCCACCCTGACGGGAGCTGGTCTTACTCCAAAGCTACTCAGCAGTATGACGTGTGTTTCAGCTCAGACACACTCAAGAGTGACGTAGTGGTTTTCCCCGCACCGTTTCCACCTGCAGATGCTGAACTCATCAGTATAAATGGAGGAGACACTTTTACCAGAACTCAGACTTTACCTAACAAAGAAAAGGTAGGCAACTTCAGATGAATTCTTACTTTGCTATTGTCAAAACATATAATAAGTACCTGACTTCAAGCATGACTCAAGATTTAAAATAATCAATATAAACACATGTACATATGTGGACCTGCAATCAAGCAATAAAATTAAGCAAACAAAACACTATCACTGGCTCAAAATGCATAACCCCTGTAGACACAGTAAGAGAATAACTTTAAAGAACAACCACAGACTGGGATCATTTGAAGATGTGTTTTTACACAAACATTTTATCATACTTTTAGCCCTTTTTCAATTTTACCGCTTTATTGTCTTCCTTAAGTGGTCTTCATCAAAAGACAAAAGGTTACTATGTTTTTGTCAATAGTTACATGGTGTTGTTGGCTATAGGACAAGTTTGAATGCAAGTATTTGGGAAGAGCTATCCATGGTGCTGAACTTTCTATTTGCGACACTTCCATGAAAAATCTACTGATTTTATGCATTTGGAAAGCATTTGTTGAAATGCTATGCTTCGTAATGAACCTAAACTGAAACAATGGTCATGTTGGTGCTAAATGTAACACTTTGGCTATATGAAGATGTTGTCTTGTTGCTGTGATCTTTCATTTGGCATGTGTTTCCGAAGTTGCCTGAAGTGAAAATGGCTGTCTGTGGTGTTTGACTAAGTGTTCAATTATGGGGTTTCTGAACAATTCTGTTACTCCTACTAGTTTCTCAAGAAAAAAATATTTTTTACTAAAGGGCACTTGAGAAAGAAAGTCAACATTATTTTATTTCTGGATATTTTACTTTACACATTAGCTCATGCAATGACTAAAATATTTAGAATTTCCTTTAATTGAGTCTTCATGCTCTACATATATACATGAATGACAAATGTGATCAATTTGATTGGTTGTTTCTAATTTTTACAACTTCTTTGACTGTGTGGGATGCTCAACTGCATTTTCTTACCCACTATTCACCACATGATGTCGCAGGAGACCGTAGAAGTCGGGATGATAGTTCGTCCTTAACTCCACCTCCCTGTATGAGAAAAAAATAAATCGTCATCGGCCTTTAGTACACTCGCGGAAGCCGCTGTAACGAGAAGGGCCGGAGCTTTCCCAGAATATTGTTCATTTGGACGGAAACATCTACACTAAGGATAAATGACCGTTTGTGATCATTTCTTTTGTGGCTTCAACAATGAATATTCGAGGACGATCGGAATACTTGTGGACTCGCATTGTTGTGCTGCTTTGTCTTTGTGACTGCTCTGCTTCGCAATTGTCTTACTCGATTTCCGAGGAGGTGAACAAAGGCACCGTGGTGGGGAATATTGCGAAGGATTTAAACCTCAATGTACCGGAACTAGAGACCAGGGATCTACGTATTGTGTCAAGTTACAGTAAGAAATACTTTGACGTGAATTTGCGGACCGGGAACCTCTTTGTTGACGAAAGAATAGACAGAGAAGAGCTTTGTCCCAATGTGGTAAAATGCTCGTTAAAAATACAAGCCGTTTTAAACGATCCAATGACTGCACACCGCATAGAGATTAATGTTTTAGACATAAACGACAATTCACCTGCTTTTATTGAAAGCTCATATTCATTAAATATTTCCGAGTCATCGTTGACGGGAGAACGATATCTTCTCCCAATAGCAGTTGATGCAGACATTGGCAGCAACTCAGTAAAGAGCTACAAGCTGAGCCAAAATGAATATTTCTCACTCGATGTGCAGAGCGGAGGAGAACACGAAGTGTCTGCTGAGTTAGTGCTGCAGAAAGCTTTAGATCGAGAGAAACAGGCTGTTATTAAACTTATTTTGACTGCTGTAGATGGAGGGAAACCTGCTAGATCAGGGTCACTACAGATACATGTAAATGTTTTAGATGCCAATGATAATATACCAACATTTAGCAAAACTCTTTATAAAGTGAGAGTGCCCGAAAACTCGGAAAGTGGAACAGTAGTGATCAAGTTAAATGCTACAGATTTAGATGAGGGAATAAATAGTCAATACTTTATGCTTTGATCAAACGAGGAAATGTTGATCCAACGGACATATTTGATTTAAATCCAGAAACAGGAGAAATAACTGTCAAGGGAACATTGGATTATGAAGAAACACCTGCTTATGAGGTTAGAGTTCAAGCAAAAGATCAAGGCACCTCTCCCCGAAGTGCACATGCTAAACTGCTGATAGAAATAATTGATGTGAATGACAATGCTCCTGAAATTTCTGTGACGTCACTCATGACACCAGTAAAAGAAGACGCAGAGTTAGGGACCATCGTTGCTTTGGTTACAGTGAGTGATAAAGATGGAGGAAACAATGGTGTGACTAACTGTAAGGTGGTGGGCTCTGTTCCCTTCAAACTCAAGTCCAACTACAAAAACGACTATTCATTAGTAGTAGATGGACCCCTAGACAGAGAAAACACCTCTCTTTACAATGTCACCATTACAGCCACAGATGAAGGGAGTCCTCCTCTGTCCAGTGTCAGGGTCATTACTGTTCAAGTTTCTGATGTTAATGATAATGCTCCTCGTTTCATGGAGCCAGTGGTTCATGTGTATGTGAAAGAAAACAGTCCTACTGGCTCAGTTATTTATACCATAAGTGCTTTTGATCCTGATTTGGACAATAATGCAAAACTGACTTTAAATTGTTGGAAAGTTATCCAAGATCTATTCCTATAACCTCTGTTGTAAACATCAACTCAGAGACTGGAGATATAGTCAGCCTGCAGTCTTTTAACTATGAAGAGTTAAAACGTTTCAGTTTAAAGTTCAGGCCACAGACTCTGGTGTTCCTCCGCTCAGCAGCAACGTGACTGTGAACGTTTTGATCCTGGATGAAAATGACAATAATCCAACTATTCTCGCGCCCTATTCTGAGCACGGCTCCGTCAACAGTGAGAGCATCCCCTATTCTGCTGAAGCGGGATACTTTGTGGCAAAGATCAGGGCTGTAGACGCAGACTCTGGATACAACGCGCTGCTCTCTTATCACCTCTCTGAGCCCAAAGGAAACAATCTCTTCCGGATCGGAACCAGCACCGGAGAGATCAGGACTAAGAGGAGAATGAGTGACAATGACCTGAAAACTCACCCCTTGGTGGTGCTGGTCTCTGATAATGGAGAACCCTCCCTGTCAGCTACTGTGTCTATTGATGTGGTGGTGGTTGAAAGCAATGCTGACATCCACACTCAGTTCAGACATGTGACCATAAAGGAGGAGAGCTTCTCTGATTTAAACCTGTATCTGCTCATCGCCATAGTGTCGGTGTCAGCCATCTTTCCTGCTCAGCCTCATCACTTTAATAGCTGTCAAATGTCACAGGACAGACGGCAGTTTCAGCAGGTACGGAGCCCCAATGATCACCACCCACCCTGACGGGAGCTGGTCTTACTCCAAAGCTACTCAGCAGTATGACGTGTGTTTCAGCTCAGACACACTCAAGAGTGACGTAGTGGTTTTCCCCGCACCGTTTCCACCTGCAGATGCTGAACTGATCAGTATAAATGGAGGAGACACTTTTACCAGAACGCAGACTTTGCCTAATAAGGAAAGGGTGAGTTGTCTGCAGCCTTTCACTCCATTTCAAAGAATGAAAAAAGCATCTTTCTTTTTTTTAATCTCAGAACTACACGTTCTTGATTGTCTCACAGCTTTGTTCTCACCTTAAAACATGACATTCATTTTAATATATTTATTTTTTTAGACTCAGACATAATCATATAGCGGAACAAACTTTGCATTATTGTTGCATTTAAACATATTAAACCTCTTGACACAGGTTGAAAATGTTACATATCTCTTCCAAATGTGTTTCACATAGTACTGTCCTTGGTGCTGAAATCATATTGGCGCCTGCTTCGTATTCGCGTGTTGACAGTATTGATATCAATATGTCACCTATGTCTTGAACAGTAAACAGAAGACTGTGATGACACTGTTAACCATTGATTGTAAACTAGTTTAATGAGGAACACGACCCATGCTTTTGAACTAGTGTTGTTTCAGCTCTGGATTGTTATTCTTGTGTTACATTTACTTTTAGACTTCTAGGGCTTATTGCAAGTAATCGAGTGATTCCTTTGCGTACATTTTCATCCCAAGGTTGTTGAAGGAGATTTGAAGATGTATTAACAAAACACAAAAAACTCAGTAACAGCTATTGGGATATGTGAAGAGTGGCCTCTTCAATTTTTTTTAAACTATTTTCATATCTACTTTTTTACGCGTGGGGTCGCTGATGACCACATGTTTTTGTGAGGTTGCTGTTTCAGTTCCCTCCTACGTATGAAGCGTCCGCAGACTGCGAGTGCTTTGTGAGGGGAAGTCGAATGGCGTGAAGACGGAGAGAATTTGAGTGTGTGGAATATCAAACACTGGCTGATCTGATGGCGTTTTATGGATGATTTGTATTTTGTTGATCCTCAGTTTCTTTGGAAGCAGCGATGGGCAGTTGTCGGAAATATGGACTCCTTTTTTGGCTCCTGGTCTTGTTTTTATGTGACTGGGCGGCTGCGCAGATATCCTACTCTGTTTCCGAGGAGGCAGACAAAGGGACCGTGGTCGGAAATCTCGCAAAGAATTTAAATGTAAATGTCCGGGACCTGCAGACAAGGAGTCTAAATATCGTGTCTGGATACAGTAAGAGATATTTCGAGGCAAATTTCAAAACGGGGGATCTTTATGTGAATGAGCGAATAGATCGCGAGGAGCTTTGTGCGAGCACGATCAAATGCACACTCAACTTCGAGGCCATACTGAGTGATCCTATGGTTCTCCACCGCATTGAGGTGGTAATTGTTGATTTAAATGACAACGCGCCAACCTTCGTAGAAAATTCATATTCACTTAACATATCTGAATTGTCTCCTACGGGCGAGCACTTCTTGCTCCCCCTAGCTCTTGATGCAGATACAGGAAGCAATTCAGTAAAGACTTACAGGCTTAGTCCAAATGAATATTTCTCCCTAGATGTGCAGAGTGGTGGGGAACATAGTGTTTCTGCTGAATTAGTGTTATTAAAGGCATTGGATCGTGAAAAACAAGCTGTTATTAAACTAACGCTTACAGCTGTAGATGGAGGAAAACCTCCTAAAACCGGAAGCCTAAATATAAATGTAAACGTTCTGGATGCGAATGACAACACGCCGTCATTTAGCAAAACACTTTACAAAGCACGGGTTAATGAAAACGCGCCAGCTGGATCAGTAGTAATAGAACTAAGTGCCACGGATTTAGACGAAGGTGACAACGGGAGGCTCACTTACTCCTTTGTAAAGCGTGGCAACTTTAATCCTGCAGATGTGTTTTTAATAAATGCAGAAAACGGGGAGATCACGGTAAAGGGAAATTTAGATTACGAAGCGCAGGCAGCGTATGAGATTCATGTGCAGGCAACAGACCACGGGAGTTTACCTCGTAGAGCAAATGGAAAGCTGCTGGTGGAAGTGGTCGATGTGAACGACAATGCCCCAGAAATTGTAGTGACGTCACTCATGAATCCCGTTAGAGAAGATGCTGAAATTGGCAGCGTTGTCGCTTTGGTGACAGTGACGGATAAAGATGGAGGAAAGAACGGCCAGACTCAATGTAAACTTACAGGTTCTGCACCATTTAAGCTGAATTCCAATTATAAGAATTATTACTCTTTAGTTGTAGACGGACCTCTGGATAGAGAAGGGTGCTCTTTTTACAACGTGACGATGACGGCTGTTGATGAGGGGACCCCACCTCTTTCCTGTTCCGGAGTCATTACTGTCCGCGTCTCTGATGTCAATGATAACCCGCCTCGTTTTGTTGAACCTGTGATTAATATTTATGTCAAAGAAAACGGCCCAGTTGGAAATCCCATCTATACGATCACTGCAATCGATCCTGATATAAACGAAAATGCTAACGTTATGTATTCATTAGAGGGTGATTCAAAAAGTACTCCTATAACCTCTGTTGTAAACATCAACTCAATGACTGGAGATATAGTCAGCCTGCAGTCGTTTAACTATGAGGAGTTAAAAACGTTTCAGTTTAAAGTTCAGGCCACAGACTCTGGTGTTCCTCCGCTCAGCAGCAACGTGACTGTGAATGTTTTGATCCTGGATGAAAATGACAATAATCCAACTATTCTCGCGCCCTATTCTGAGCACGGCTCCGTCAACAGTGAGAGCATCCCCTATTCTGCTGAAGCGGGATACTTTGTGGCAAAGATCAGGGCTGTAGACGCAGACTCTGGATACAACGCGCTGCTCTCTTATCACCTCTCTGAGCCCAAAGGAAACAATCTCTTCCGGATCGGAACCAGCACCGGAGAGATCAGGACTAAGAGGAGAATGAGTGACAATGACCTGAAAACTCACCCCTTGGTGGTGCTGGTCTCTGATAATGGAGAACCCTCCCTGTCAGCTACTGTGTCTATTGATGTGGTGGTGGTTGAAAGCAATGCTGACATCCACACTCAGTTCAGACATGTGACCATAAAGGAGGAGAGCTTCTCTGATTTAAACCTGTATCTGCTCATCGCCATAGTGTCGGTGTCAGCCATCTTCCTGCTCAGCCTCATCACTTTAATAGCTGTCAAATGTCACAGGACAGACGGCAGTTTCAGCAGGTACGGAGCCCCAATGATCACCACCCATCCTGACGGGAGCTGGTCTTACTCCAAAGCTACTCAGCAGTATGACGTGTGTTTCAGCTCAGACACACTCAAGAGTGACGTAGTGGTTTTCCCCGCACAGTTTCCACCTGTAGATGCTGAACTCATCAGTATAAACGGAGGAGATACTTTTACCAGAACTCAGACTTTGCCTAATAAGGAAATGGTGAGTTGTTTGTTGCATATTTTTTTGAGTAGTGTACATGTGAAAAACATGATTTTTGCTTCATTCAGTATGTGAAAGATGTGTGCAGTCATTAGTTTAAAATATATGTACAACTTCAGCTATTTCTGATTCTCGTGGTGGATACATTTTGTATGGATTGCCGTCCCGGCTTGATGATATGATGTACAAAGGCTTAACTAAGGTCAATAATGTTTCTGAGTCAGCCTTGGAGCCATATGATAGTTAAAAAATATATATCATATAGCTTGTAAGCCGCTGAAT